CAGCTGTAAACAGGCGAAATTAACATCACAGTTGCAGAGTAATCATTAATTGCAGACTATAAACCAATCTTAAAATGGAAGGAGAGATCCTGATCTAAAACCACACACACACAAAAAAGAACACCCCCCCCAAACAACAAAACAAAAAAAACAACACAAAACCCAACCACCCTATCAGTCTTCCCTTTATTTTTTCAGTGCCATTTATAAATGAACCATTAAAGTTTTTAATAGTAACAGCTAGCAGCTTCAGAAGACACTGAAATGCAGACACAGACTTTCATGGAGTTGTTTTTTCAGAACACAACTGAAAGGTAGTAAATCTTTATTATCAAAATATACACTTCAGAACCTAGTTTTAGAAACCAAGGCTGCAGAATCTGAATACACAGCTCTGTGCTACCTCCATGCTAAGGTGGTTTTATACTGAAGTAGAGATACTTTGGAATATTAAAGAGCTGTCTTAAAGCTCTAGTTTCTGAGACAGTATTTACCTAAGAATGCCACCCTAAAAGGTCTCAGAGATGCAGGAAAAAAATTACAACCTTTTAAAATTTGAACTTTTGTGAATCTAACAATAGTTTCATTTATGTTATTCTATAATAATAAGATTTAAAACATATATTCTATAGTATTCAAGATTCAGGGACTATGATTTGTAATATTTTAACTCCTAACATAGACAATACTGATTTTAGTGTATATATATATTAAAAAAAAAAAAAACCCAACCAACCAAACAAAAAAACCCCACAACTCACTTTAAACTATTTTTCTGGTTTTGATTAAAAAAATAAGCTGACAGCAACACTGCTACAGTGAGGGTAAATTCACAGATTTACACCATTAGACAAAATTAACCAATTCTTTTGGATTTGGAAAATGCTGGCAGAAGAGCATAAGCTGGGGGGAAATGGGAAATAAAAAAAATTAAAAAAACAGTAAAAAGTATAGTCCTGGACTTATTAAGGGCAATAATCTGGTGAATAGTTGTGCTCTGTGAATAAATTAAGATAATTGTGTGCTGTTCCCAAAACCAAACTAGCCTTTATCCCAGCTTTAGTATTTGGAATTACCTGAATTTTCTTACCCAACACCATCTGAGATGGAGGGTGAGCAGAGCCTTATGCCTCTATGTTTCTCAGTACCCCCCTCCAAACTTAAATACAATTGTAAGAACCTGAGTGAAGGCTCCCTGATTTACTCTGCTGAACAACCTTACTGTTCTGCACAGCTGGGAGGGAGGGATGCTAGCTAGTGCCCACCTCCTGCATGCTTCTATAAAACACACTGACATCCAGGAATGCATGAAAACCAAAATGGTTTCAGCAGTAAGCTACCCCTCCAAATTCATGGCACCAAACCACATCTTCGAAAGAATAGTCTACGTTACTCTTGAAACTAAAACCACCAGCAACTACTGAGGACAACTTCTAATACAGGATCTTCATCACACATTTGGCGTAAACATAGAGATAAAAGTGAATTATTGAAGGCCATTTTGCAGGGCAGCAGCCAACCCAGAAATGAGCACTGTAGAGCCTTTCAGTTTCCCAGTGTTTTCTTCCACGGGGTCACAGCTCCTTTCTGCCTAATGTACCAGCGTGCTTCCCCAGAACCTTCCTTGTAGATTTGTATCTCCTTATACAACAGCTGATTATAGGGTGCTGCAGATTACAGGTAGGCCTAAACCCTATCACTGAACAGAAGCTCCTCTGAAATGTGAGGAGTCACAAAACAACATCCAATAGCTAATAGTGGCATCCCAGATTAAATTACTTAACTTCAGATGAACATGCTGCTTTTTAAACAAAGGTACACCTTTCCACCTCTAAAAGGGAAGTCAGTGAAGGCTGACCAAAAAGGGTCCCAACATGCATGTCAGGAGACTACTGAGCTTCAGTGCTAGCCATGGATGACACACAAGACATTGGGGGTACTGTGGATGTCAAGAGATCACATTTCTGTCTGACTAGAAAGAGGAAAGAAAGATGAAATAGAAGCCATGGGAGCTTCTGAGCAACTCTGTAGCTGCCATTTAAGTCTCTGTTCCTTCCAGTCACACCAGGAGGCTAGGACACAAGAACCTTGAGCCAAGAGAAAATATCTCCTCTCTGAAGCCTACTCTGTTGCACTGTACTAACCTCTTCTTTCTTCCCCTGCTGTCCTATTACAGTTTGCAATGAAATTGTAAAAATACAGTAAGGCATCGATGAATCCTGGTCTCTCATCCAGGGGCAGTTAAAAACCAAAGACTTCTCTTGTTTCTTATTCACTCCAAGGCCTTTTTACACTGCTTTGGCACAGCACAAGGCTACCAAGTGGATGTAAACCTCCCCCAACCCCTTTCACCTCCAGGATAGCATAAAATATAACGTGACCCCAAAAAATCCTGTTCACAGTTATTCTCCACGGCATATCATTGCTGCAAGGGAACCCACACTGCCACTGAAGTGTGTAAACTTTTGCTTAAAATTAAATTCCAGCAAAAATTCAGGGGAGAAAACAGCTCTGATGTGTTTTGAATGGAATTCTTCTTTTAAAAGGCTTTGGGATTTGGAAGACATTTACTCTTTTTATCCATTATATCAAAATCATTGACAAAATCACAATGAAACATTTTGTTCCTTCCTAAAAACAAAAACCAAAGAGGGGGTGAAAAAAAATCTCTCACAAAGAATTAAAAAGCATTCAGGTTTCATTCCAACGAGCTGGGCGTCAGGACCTCAGCATTCTTCAAGAAAAGAGATTATTGTCTCCGGCCAGCTCTGGTGTAAGCCTGCAAAATCCTCTGCCAATCTTTTAGATGAATTACCAGCCAACTAATTCCTTTCATCAACAGTTCATCGAACACTACCTACATGGACTAGGAGCTGGAAATTTTATGTATACAGACAGATCTGTTTTACTAGAATATCACCCTAGTGACTTACTGTTTTAACTCAACCTTTCAATAGTGTGCACAAAACTCCTGACGTCTTTCTCAGCTTCTGACAACACCACCCTTCACCTTCTGACACCCAACACATTTCCACACATCCTACAATCTTTCTTTCATTATTGATTAGGCAAAGCAATGCCATACAACTCTGCAATGGAGAGATGCCCTCACATATATTTACTCAGATCAGCGATCCCTGCCAAAGCTCCCAACTGCCAGCCAAGAATGGAAAGTGCACAGCTCTACACCCAAAGAGAGATGGAGGGGAGCCAGACTGCCAACTCCTGAGCACCAGCCAAGAGGAAAAGCACTATTAAATAGGTGATGCCCAGTACATAGGTATTGGTAGCAGAGTGTACACTCGAGAAGCTCACAGTACAGGTTACGAAGCAGCAGATGCTTACATCAGGGGCTGATTAGACACAGGGCCCCATTCAGCTCTGTATCTGGTCCCATGAAAATTCATCCTAATTTGGACAAAACCCATGAGCTAAGCTTTTCTGGCAGGTCTCCCTGCAAAATAGTTTGACTTCAATAGAAAACACCATGGAGAAAAACATGGCTTTTCAGCACATCAGTCTTTCGCTCATAGAGTCAGCAATTTCCCCCAAACCATGATGGTCAACATTAATAACACAGTCAAGAGAAACTGTTTTTAGCATCTGTTATTTAACTATGGGACTACCTCAGTGCATTTGTTTACACAACTGAATCACTATTTTGTGATGAAAAGCTTTCTTAGCTGCAGCATGCCAACCCAGTTGGCTGGTAACCTCTGGATGGAGGAAAATCAATGTAGAAGTGTGCTGACCAAGAATAAGCTTTGGTTCCAAAACAACATCAAGGTTTATGTTAAATATCCCATCCAATTACCCCCTAAAACTCATGGAAAACTTTCTGCTCACAATTAATATTCCTTCTGTGGAGCCTGGTGGTCACAGACAAGAACAAAGGGATGCATTTGACCAGGGTCTATGCAAGTACATTTTAGATTACAGCAATGTGAAATCTAAGCAGATGCACCACTCCTGATTAACAGATGAGGAACTGAAACACAAAGATGCAGAGACAAGTTTGGGCCTATATAGTAAATAGGTGACATTCTGAGGTTTCAGACTTTAAGTGCTGCTACAAAACTGTAAAACATCAGACCCAGGAGGAGAACACATTTCTTCTCCACACACCAATCAGATTGCAATAGTAAGATTCCCACCTGAAGTTTTAAAGAGAAACTGTCCTCCTGTTAAAAGCCGGACCCATATCTCCTTAGGACCTCAATATTTTTTATGATACAATTCCAGCCACTCAAAAGGAAAGGGCAAGACACATGCCATACTTATGGACTAGGATGTATTCTGCGATGACGTGCCCATAAACCAGTGCAATTGGTGTCCTCGTCAGACACGGGATCAAATACCCAGTAGATTTAATAAAAACATTCAAAATAAAACCCCAGAATGATAAATAACATTAATACTACAATATTCTCACTCTTTATGGCATTCTGTAGTAGTGAATTCCATAAACATAGCCTGTGCTACATAAACCCATCACTTTCTCCATTTGTGCTTCCTTTTCAGATGATTCCTCATTACTGTATCTGGGGGTGTAATGAACTGCAATCTAGAGGGCTGTGAAAAAATAAAGTCACCCACACTGATGAAAGACAAGGTTTATCTACCAGAAGTGTGTTAAATGCTCCTCAGATAGTCAGAAAAATAGAAATTATGAAATTTGTAATTACAAAACCAGACAAAACCAGCATTAGATTGTTTCTATATCAAAATGGCAAGCACGAAGGATAAAATGAAAAAGCTAAAATCCAAAAATGGCACAAACCCCCCATCTCTTCATGAATTAATTTAGATCAGAATTTAGAGTAATACTTTGATCATTCGAGGAGTAGGAAGCAGCAGTACCTGTGTCGCAAGAGAAAGCACTGGAGGTCTGGCATTGAAGTTTTATGAATCGACTGCCTAACTAAAGTAGAAGAAGGGACAAGACAACCCAGAAGTCCCTTCTGGTCCTAGATTTTCATGAGTCATTATTTGTGCTTTACCCAGCAGATTTCCCTTTGAAGAAGGAATCTTCCGTCCTTTGTGAAACAATGGTTTCATCCATAGGAGAGAACCAAGCTTAGCTGTTAAAGGAACAGGGGTAATGACAGATGGGTGAGCACCTGTGCACACAATACATGGCACACATACTTGCCACACAAATTATTCAACCATACTTCTTACATATTTCATCTACAAGGGTATTCTAGGGTCATTACTTATGTATAAAACAAACCTCTTCAGGCAACTCAGAAACATGGCTGCAAATCTATGGAACTCGATTTTCACAAGAAAATATGATGTGATTTTAACATGATAGACCAATTCAACAAACAATATCTCTTCAAAATCTTAATGGCTGCATGGGGAGATAATGAGTTCCTTGCACAGTTGCTACCCAGAGGATAAATGTGGAAGATGACCACAGATCTGAAGGAATATAACTTCTCACCACCCTGAACACCTTAAGACATTTTCTAAAACCCCACAAATAGATTCAAAGCAACTCAAGATTAAATTGGTGTGACAGATTGTGACAGATACTAATTTCTATCTACATAATTTGAGCCTACATAGTACCACACACACAGAAATCCAAGAGGCAATATTCACTACTCAAATTAAGTTTCTAGATCACTATAAAATATTACCATTTTCCATACTGCTGCTAAAACACAACTTATTTCCTTGAAAAAAACCAACTCTTTTCTGAACACAGGCTATTGAGCACTAATAATACCAAATCTCATCCAGTGTGTAACAAAAAACACAGAAACAAAATCACATATACTTAACTACATTGCATGCCTTCACTGCAGGCCAGAAGAAAACACTGAAGTCACCGCAAGAATCACACCCAGGTAGGATGTCCTCTATCCATCGACTCACCACTCTTGCAGTGAGAAATTGCAGTTAAACCCAGAAAGGTCCAGTATAGTTTTTCCAGCTTGAAGTCATCTTTTTCTTTGCTCTTTAATACCTCTGAAATTCCACAGTACTAGACAGTATCAGCATAATAAAGCTAGAGCCCAACAGCATTGAAGACTAAGTTTGATTGACTGCATTTCACAGCAAATGAAGTCCACAGGTGTATTTACTGCCAGCTGACAATAATTTCAGAAGTAGTAATTGGTGTGACAGAGTGACAGAAAAGGTAAACATTACCCTAAAATATACTAGGAAAAGATAAGAGATAAAGATTGGCCAGTGCTTTTCTCTAAAACACTGGTGCACTACACAGCAAATCCAGTAATTTTGGTCATCCATCTGAAAAACAGGTTAATGTCAGGTGAAATATTCTCTGAGATGGGTTCCTGTAGTCCTTATGTTAGGGAAGATTGAAAAAGAATCTGCCTTTTTTGACCTAAAAAGCAAAGGAAAAGACAGTATGTGACAACATTCTGAAAGGACATCAAGGCTAAATGCTACAGAGGGAGAAGTAGCTAAAGTAAAACAAGAGTTTGGCACAATGACAAAAGGGATTATACCTGCTATGAATACATTCAGACTGGAAACTAGAAAGTGTCTAGCCGTCAGAGCTCAGGGTATGGTGTAGCCTCACAGTAGGAATAACAGAAGGAAAATAACCTAATTAGTTTTAAGAGGGAGACTGAAAAGTTTAAGAATGTCTCAACAGCAGGGGACTGGATTTGGGAAGTGCCTTTTAGTCCTGCATTCAAGCAGGAAGACTATCAGAGAAAACCAGAACCTGTATCTGCATGAATTTCCATTCAGAAGCATTCTTGCAAATTAGTCTCATCAAATTTAACTAACCACACCTTTAGATCACAAATGTTATTAGAGATTTATGCAAGTGACAGATACCTTTGTGTGCCAGACTATGGATTAATATCTGGAGTTATTAAGTAAGCCTCTATTTTATCTCTGATATACTAATCTTTCTTAAGAGGGGTAAGAAGCAATGCAACAGCAAGATGGAAGGGTAAGTGAAGAGGATTTGGGGTGGGTTTGGACACCTGTGCCAGTGTTAGCATGAGAAGTAACACATTGTACTAAGTCTGGTATAAAAGTTGAATTAAACTATTTGTAAATATTATTTTTCTTTTGCGTGCCATCTCATCTGACAGCCAGTTCACAATGGTTCAAATGCAATTTTAGGGCCAGTTCTACATAGAAGTAAGTCAAACAAAAAAATTCAAGTTTGATGTTTGGTTGTTTTAGGGTTTTTCTTTAATCTGAAGGATTAGCTTCACCACTGTCATTTAAACATGAAAAATCATTGACATGACAAAAGAAACATAGATACAAAGAACACATGGGAATTGACACACTGCAGTGCATGTTGGTTTATTCTCAAAACTTCAGAAAGGAGCTCCTATAACACTGAAATGAAATCCTATCTCCACTGAAGCAGTACTGAATGTAGTCTTGATAAGTATTTCATCCCCGAACTTTATTCCCAATGAAAGTGCATCAGTAACTGTAATAAGTTCTGAGAGGGGCTGACTCAGATGAATAGGAAAAGAACCAGCAGATGGCTGTTACTTGGGTTTGTTTTACACTATGCATGATGTGTAATTGCTACTATGACTTGAAGACCTTCTACCATTGTGTGTGACATCCATGCATGATTTTGCAAAATTAACTCTCCTACGTAAGCAGCATTTGTCTTTCCTTGATAGGGACCCAAAAGTTAAGTCCCCAAACCTACACGGTTCATGGCCTCTGATTTGGTGGCCTTTTACCCATGTGCCTTCTTTCACTCCCCAACACATAAACCACGGTACAGTGAGCTGACATGAATTCCTTGAGCTCAGTAATCAAAGCTCTCTCAAAACCCAAACCAACACGGTACCAACTGTGCAAAAGCAACAATGGAGTGACCACAGGGTTTGTTTTCCATACCTGTTTTCACTCCAAGAGCGTGCCCATACTCCTCCCACCATGTCTCGGAGGCAAACAGCATGCCTGAGTATACAGTTCTCTGCCAAGAGGAAGCAGAGAGAAAGCCACCAGCATTGTACCAGGCAAAGGGCCCTGTCTAGGAGCAGCCAGGAGCCATCAATGCTTCTCTCCACGCCCACATCCACACGAAGTAGGAAGGAAACCTTGCCCACACATTGTCCCTCCCTAAATGTGCTGCTTAGATGCTCAACTCTACTCTCTCTGCAGGTACCCTCTGTCCTCTGAGACACAAGCGATGAGATGATCCAGGGGTGCTACAAGGGGCAGCCTGGCACCCGCTGCACCCACCAGGTCTCCCCGCCGCTCCTGCCTATCCCCAGGGCTGCCTGGGGATGCCAGCAGCGGGACCATGTGTCCAGGAAACGAGGCACAGAGAAACCACGGCCCTAACGGGACGGACGGTTGAACTGCCCCCTCCCCGCAGCCACCATCCCCTCCTGCGACGGGCGCGGCCTGATGACGTCACCGAGGCCGCTCGCCTCCCCCAATGGTCGGGCCCAGCGCTCCCGCGCCTCTGAGGCAGTTCCGAGATGGCCGCTGTGCCGGGAAGCCCGAGGCCGAGGCTGCGGTGTCCGGAGGGGCTTTCGGGGCTGGGAGGGTGCCGTGCGAGCCTTGCATCTTTCAGGGGGTTGATCCGGGCCCTGAGAGCTTCTGCAGCCTACGCCGGGTTGTCTGTCTCACCGCACAACCCTACAGAGGATGCCCGGCCCAGAGCCTCTGCTGGCAGGCGCCGGCGCCTCGGGGCTGTGGCCTCCCCTGGGCCCTTCCCTGGGCCCTTCCCTGGTGTGATACTGACCCTCACGGTAGCAGTGCTTTCGTGGACTCTCTGCCCTGGGTGAGGGAGCCACCGCTGCCACAGCACCCCGGAAAGCACCCTGAGACAGCCCAGTAAAGGGCAAAAGGACTAAACAAATCCAGGAATGCCTGTGCTGGGGCTTGGCATTTGCTGAAAGTGTTTCATGGAGCTTGTGTTTCATGCTAGCCAGCAAGTGCCCCCCTATGCTCCATGTAGGAGACAGATTGGCAGCTGGAGAGTATAGGTTATCACAGCAGTTGTCAAATGTACTGCACACTGCTGGTGTTTGAAGAGCTAAAGGGTGACATAAAGCTGGGCGCAGTGTGTGTTTGGAGCATGAGCCCTTTCTAAAATGTCTCTGTTGGAAAAAAACGTAATGCAAAGGGAGATGGCACTGATTTAATTTGGTATAGCTGCAAGTGTACTTTTTGCAGCAACCTAGGAAAATACTCCAGTAACAATGGAAGGAAAATGGCCCTCTTGGTTTGTATTGTCCCTAAGCCTTGCTAATGGAGTAACAGCACTGAACATCCTCTGAGAGCAAAATAAAAGACCATCCCATATGCCATCACGGCCTGCCTTCGACCCAGCCCCACCCTTGACTGGCTGTGGATAGTGCCCGCAGGCAGGACAGGTTACCTCCTTGTATAGCCCTTGCCATGGCAGGAGGCAGGATCCTGGCTGAACAGCTGCTCTGCTGTTAGATTTAGTCCCACCATCCCCTACACTATTCAAAAATGGACCCTTAGTGAAGAGTTGTTTAGATTTTATTTATTTCCCTGAGAAAAAAACGCAAGCCTATGGATTTTAATTGCTGTGGAGATCTGATGCGAATTAGAGGTGACTTTATGCAGACAATCTACATCTTTCATTCACTTACATATGGCTTTTGCAACATTACCCTTTATGATAGTAAGTCTGTCACAGCATTTATATCCTGAGATATTTTTCTGGAAGCCTGGGGCTTGACAGGAGACCAGTTCCAACATTGTGAAACATTTGCAAGAACTTGTTACAGACTGTATTGTTCTGAAACCTGCACTTTCTTCCGCAGAACTGTCCACAGAAGTGCTCTGAATCCTATTTGCATCTACACACTCCTGGGAAGCTGTGGAAAACCCACTCCCTCAGCCAGGCATATTGGACAAACCTGCTTCTTCCTGCTGGATTTTACAAGCGCAGACAAAGCTTGAAAACAAAACAAAAAATTCATCACTAACACCAGCAGCCCTGCTCTGAACATGTGGGATGCTTCCCTGGATCCCTGCTCATTTCCTGGAGGGAAACTCAGACACACCACTTCAGGGCTGTCCTGAAGTGTGTGGAGGCTTTTATTTTTCCCCTCTCTCTCCTTCTTTTCTTTTCCCTCCTTCCTTGTGTTGATTTGTGGGGCCAGAATGACTTTGATTTCAGCAAGTTTGCTGTTTATTCACGTCACAAGTTTGACAGCTTTACACCAAATCAGATTGCTGGGTTTCAGGAGAGCTCTGAGGCGTCACTGGGAGCTCCTTTAGATTAAACTCGCCTCCCTGGTTTCCCCCCTCTCCCCCTCCTTCAGAGCCATTTAAACCTCTCTGGGGCTTTAACAGAAACGTGCTCCCAAGACCTGCATTTCATTCTGCCACTAATATGGTAAGTGCTCTTTGCATTTCTCTCGACCTGTAGGCAGGAAAGGAGAAGATGGTCTCTTCACCTTGTGGGCTTGCAGTAGGTTTTGTGCTTTCTTTAAGATGGTGAAGGAAGACGGTTCTCCTCTACCTGCAAAAGCAGTTTCTGCTGCTGTGCCTTCCCATGGGTGAGCAGATTCCCTGCTTGAGGTTCCAGGCTCTGCCGTTGCCTTGCAGAGATTTAGAGCTGGTGCAGATCGGGTTTATTGGGAGGAGGGAAAAGGGTGAATCCAGAGACAGCTCAGGGTTTGCCACTCTACGGGCTGGGACTCCTGCAGAACTGCAGGGGCAGAAGAGAGTACGAGCAGTCTTGGAGGTGACACTGCTGGCTTTGTGCTGCTTCGGACCTGAATCAAGCCCCCAAGGTGGGAGGAACGCCCTGGCCGAGGACAGCCTGGGTCCTCCCTTCCTCTTAAACCCACTCAGAACCGTAGTATTTCCCAAGGGATTGCAGGAAACTCAGCCACCTTCCTGGCATACCTTTGATTGGAGCCCCTCTGTGGCGGGGGGCTGCGGCGGGGGGAGCATTGCCCAGAGCCCAGCGGAGGCAGCAGGGAGATACGGTGCCACCGGGCGGAGGGGGAGAGCGGGCAGCCGAGTCAGGGCTGGGAGCTCCCGCGCCTGGGGGCTGCGGGGTTGTCCTGCGGCAGGTACCCGAGCACACCGCGGCTGGGACAGGAGCAAGCGGGGAGCAGGGACCAGCCTGCAGCGCAGGGCTGCCTCTCGCCGGCATGCGGCGGGGCAGGAGCGGGGCTGACACCGCCTCCCCTCTGGGCCCGCTGCAGCCCGGGGGCTGGCCGGGCGGGAGGGGATAACAGTCTGCCGGGCGCCCCATCGCCATGGTCCCTTGCCTCCACAGAGCACCGGCCGGCCGTGCCCGGAGCCAGGGTTCGCCGGGATCCCGGGCTGCGCCTGCCCCTGGTCTGTCCCAGCCGGTGTTTCCAAGGAGACCTGGGCTGCCGCCTGCACCGCGGAGCCGCCCCCCAGCCGGGACCGGGGGGAAACGCGGCCGCTGGGTAAGTGCGCTCTCGCCGCCGGGAAGGGGGGTGGGCCCGGCCACGGCCCCGCTGCCGGGCTGGGCGAGGGAGTGGGAGCGGGCTAACCCCTCGGTGTACTCCGCTCCAGGGCAGTTCTGCAGCTCGCAGCTCGGTGCTCAGGATGCGGCATGGCAGGGAGACCAGCTGTCCTCCCAGCTCTACAGGAACAAACAGGTAAAGGCTCCGCGCCCCCCCCCCCCCCCCCGAAACTTCACCCCACGAGGTTCATTAACTTTGTGTGATGTATTGCACCTTCTGGGTCGGTTTATGGCATCTCTCACTGGTACAGGTAGAGGAAACTGTGGCAAACTGCTTTTATGTTGGTGGGTTTTGTGGAAAGTATTTGGCCTGCATGAACTTGGTTCCCTATTCATCCTTCTAACAGAATATTGCACCAGCTGCCTTAGCAGTAGAGAGGACCCAGGGGCATGACCAGGGAGTCCCTCAGGTTCTGATGATGCAGAACCTCATGCTGTTGACAAAAAATACATGGTGCGTGTCCTCCTGAGTCCTGAGAAATGATTCCACCAGAATTACCTACTGATATGAATGATCAACCTTTTTGACCAACAAACATTTCCTTGTTTACTTTGTTTTCTCTTTTCTTGCCCTTTCATTTTTTTTTATTTTTTTTTTATTTTTTTTTTTAAATCCCATCAAGGGGGAAGGAGAAACTCTGAACAGTCCTGGATGAAGGAACCCCAGAAAGATCACTCTGATCAAGTATATGAAATCATAGAATCATAGAACAGTTAGGATTGGAAAGCACCTTAAGATCATCTAGTTGCATCTGCCCTGCCATGGGCAGGGACATGTCACACTAAACCATCTCACCCAAGGCTTTGTCCAGCCTGGCCTTGAACACCTCCAGGGATGGAGCATTGACAGCTTCCCTGGGCAACTCATTCCAGTGCCTCACCACCCTAACAGGAAAGAATTTCTTCCTTATATCCAATCTAAACTTCCCTGTTTTAAGTTTTAAACTGTTACTCCTTGTCCTATCACTACAGTCCCTAATGAAGAGTCCCTCCCAAACATCCTTATAGGCCCCCTTCAGATGCTGGAAGGCTGCTATGAGGTCTCCACGCAGCCTTCTCTTCTCCAGTCTGAACAGCCCCAGCTTTCTCAGCCTATCTTCATATGGGAGGTGCTCCAGTCCCCTGATCATCCTCATGGCCCTCCTCTGGACTTGTTCCAACAGTTCCAAGTTCTTTTTATGTTGAAAACACAGAACTGCACACAGTACTCCAAGTGAGGTCTCACAAGAGCAGAGTAGAGGGGCAGGATCACCTCCTTCAACCTGTTAGTCGCACTCCTTTTGATGCAGCCCAGGATATGGTTGCCTTTCTGGGCTGCGATTGTGAAATGACATTTTAACACAGTAGAGTTGATAGAATTCATTTACTAACTTCAAGGTCCCTGGAATCTATCCCTAGTTCCAGACATCAGTGTATTTCTTCCTTTGGCTCTACCTCAGTCATTTAAATCTCTGCTTTTCAGCCTGTGGTCAGCAGATGCCTGAGATCCTTGGCAGAGGATTCTTTGACCCTCTAAAGGAAACTTCATAACTATGATCAGGAGGCAAAAATCTCTCTGCCTATGCATAGAACTTCCCATAAAAAAGTGTCAAGTGTAGACAAATCAAAACCTCAGCTCTTGGGACCAGGGATTATTGCAGCTCTACATTTCTGCTGGCACTGGGACAGTAGAGCCTAGGATTGAAGAGGTCACTGGGTAGTTTTGTATCATAAAGAATGGCAGCTGCATTTTCCTTCTGCATGCTACTGCCATGAATTGTTAGCCTGCAGTTCCACCTTCTCCTTTTCCCTACCAGCCAATGATAAATTGGAATGAGAGGGGTGCAAAGGGATGCTTACTGCTGCTCTGGAGATCTGGTAGCTGCTGCCATGCCCATATTGGTTTCTGGCTGTTCACAGGGCTACCTGTAATTCTTGTCTGTTATTATTCCGTGGTTACTTCTTTTTTTTTTTTTTTTCAGACTAATCTCAAACACTCACTAAAGAATAAAAGAAGTGAAAAGTGAACAGTTGTGCCACTTAGGTTTACAGAGACAAGAGGCTGGAGGGCTAGGTTGAGTTCACAAAGCAAACACCTAGATCATCAAGTCCAAGCAGGCTGCACCATAGGGCAATTGCTATTAAGTTACAGAGTCAACATCTATTCATCAATATCTCTATTTCACAGCTTCAAGATACTTTGCTTCAGAAGGAAGAGGAACTTGCTAGGTTACATGAAGAAAATAATAACCTCCGACAATACCTGAATTCTGCCCTGATTAAGTGTTTAGAAGAAAAAGCCAAGGTATTGTGTCCAAACCTGTTGTATAGACATGTGCAAAAGAAACAGGTTGAATAGGTTGAAACAGGCACATGCTATTAAAATACATGTAAAGTCTGAGAGTGTAGACAACCTGCAGTGTGAGATATGTTTAACTTCATAGAGCTGCCAAATTGCTAGTCATGGATCTAAGGTGACAGTTTCCCCCAGGAATGACATTGTATCAAGTTCTGATTGTGGAGACAGTATAGCCCATGGCATAATTAAGTTTAGTTAATGTGTAAGTTAGCTGTAAGTAAGTTAAGTTTATAAGCAAGGCAAAAGTTATCCCATCTAACCTTCTTCTTCAGTGAAAAATTCAAATTTGAACATACAGTTCTCTAACATGTCCATTTTGTCAATTACCCCTTTTGATTAAGGATTAATTTTTCTTTTTTTATGTTTTGGATGCTTTCTGGTTTATGTTTTGTTTTGTCATCTTCCAATGATACTTTTTCTTTATTTACATTAGAGTACTGATCTTCTAATTTTTTTCAAAGTTATTTAATTAAAAAGTTGTGTGGGTTTTGGTTTGATTTTGGGTTTTTTTCTTTCTTTAAGATGAAATACCAAATTAAGCACTTCAGGTTGAATGAAACATTTTGTTAAAGTAAGTGTGAATAGGTTGGGTTTTTTTATTAAATATTTTGATTCTCTGTTTCTAGTCCAGAAGATAATTGTTTCATGTTGGCTTAAAGAAATTTTTTGCTATTCCAGCCTCATGAAACTGAACTATTTATTATTTCCTCAGCTCTGTAAAAAATAGCAGACTTTCCTTTTCCATCCTATTCTGTGTTGACAGCGTGGCTTGTCCTTCCACACCAAAACCTGGCTCCTGGCAGTAGAAAATGTCTCCTTCACTGGGCACAGCAGGCAGACATGGACACCCCTCTATGTCGTGTGGAGGAGCGTCCAGTATGAAACCGTCACAGGAAGTGTCTGAGCAACGAATTCATGAGATAGTGGGGAAGTTTCCTTGTTGTTCCTGCCTTCCTTTGACTGTCCTTGGATGCCTGAAGGGCCGTTGTTCTGGGATAATGGCAACCGAGGTGGATTAATGGGCTTAAGCCACTCAGTCTGCTGCTCTGAGCACTCCTTGTCCAGGATCACACCTGCCCCAATATGACTTACCTTCATATCCTCCCTATGTGCCAGATTGCCACATTTCCCCTCATACCCTGCTCACCTGCCAAATGCTGCTGGCAGCAGCAACACAGAGGAGTGCCATACAGCCAGGCAGGAGCTCTCATTTCATGCTGTACTGAGTGAGAATGCGATCAAAGCACAGGCCTTGTTGACATTGTCAGATTCTTTCTCAAGGACTTGACTGTTGCAGAGACTGTAAGACGCAAAATAGTCATATCCTATGAATTCCACAGGGTGGAAAAAAAGTATCTTTTGTAAGGACAGTAGTAACAATCTTACCCATCTAAAAGCCGAGATCAGAAACATGTTGCTTCCAGATAACTGGAAATTCAGATTTTAATCTTCTCTCTCACATATATTTTATTTTTTTTTTTCCCCCGATAGAAACTGCTTTCCTGCCATGGCCAAAAAAACTGTGCTATTCTCAAAAGCACCAAGAGGAAATTAAAAGAGTACCACTGCTTTGCTCCTCAAGAATCTCCTCATGCTTCCAAAGCCAGAAGGAACCTCTTTAATGAATTCACTGCCTGCGAAGAGCAAGCCAGCCCTGCTGTAGACAGCTGGGTCTTGCAGACTTTAGGATTAAAAGATGTGAACACCATTGATGAAACTTCAGCTAACTACAGTGCCCTCTCCTCAGACCTTGGAAAAGACATGTGCTGCCTAAGCGCTGGTGAAGCAACAGACTATGACCACAGTGAAGGAGCATCAGCAGCATATAGCTGCAGCCACCTGCCTTCAGCTAACAACAGTACCCATCCATGCACTGAGGACTCTCCCTTCCTTCCTCAGTTTTCTTCAGCAGAATGTGTCGCATCAGTGCCAAGCATTTCCTCCCTCCCAGCCTATAGGTTGCCTTATTTGACTGGGAATTTGTCACCCAATAAAACAGAAATGGCCTTCACAACATCACTAAGTCCTCACCGCAATGTGAGAACACACACCTTCCACCAAGGACAAGCCTTTGTGTGCAGGGATGATGATGGAGGATGGAGATTCACCTGGGTGCCCAAGCAGGGTGAATAATGCACCTGCACTGGGGGTCAGCAGTAGGGGGTGAAGAAGACAGACACTTCATCTTGTGCTTGAAACTGATTCATGCATCAAAAATGAGCCCTTCTGGGCTCTGATAGGTGCTCCTCTGTCATGTACTCCTCATTCCCTTCCAGATACTTACAGACGTGGCTCGATATTGCACTTGGACAATTATCTGCCCCAGACCAGATATACACTTCTCTTGTGCCTGTGTTGAGATACCTGATTTTATTTGTTTCATGTTTTTTCTATCATCAGATACTCCTTGTTAACTGGTAGTTAACAAGGTTGGAGTGCTTTCAGCTTTGATGATTGAAAGCATTTGGGCAATACAGTTTGGAAATGGCACTTTTCTCAGATATCCACAGATGACAAAGGAGGCATAGGCTGAGGATCAGCAGTTTCTAAGTGATTTGCGTCTCTCCTGGCTACACAGATTGCCTTGGATTAAGGCAGTCACGGGTATTTGTTAATGTGCTACACTAGGCTGACCTACATGAAGTCACATGGTGCTGTCACATTCTTTGATGATGCCTTAAAATAAACAGGATTTCTTCTATTGCCTGAAGGCTACTTAATTACAAGTGATTCAGCAAGTTCAGGGAATTTTCTTAAAGTGTGATCAAGAGATTAATGTTTACTGCATTGTGCTTTAAAGGTATTTTACCTGTCAGATAAAAGGAGTTTAAAAAGTTTGAGCCCTGGAACAGGATCTGGAATTGGAAATTCTGTAATAACACTGCCACCACCAGCCAAGTCCCTGGCCCGGTATATCTGTGACAGAAATTGTCTCATCTGTGGATAATGTACACTAAGAGCTCTTCTTCTTCTGCAAAAGATTCATTCCTGTTGTCTCCAACATCCCGCTAATATTTTGATGGATTTTAGTCTGTGTTTACCTGCCTAATTACAAGGGATTTTGGAAGCCCTCATGAAAGAGAACCACTCCTGGGTTCATAAGCAATTTCTGTGGCTCCAGTGGGGCTTTTTTTACAATATCAAGAGCTGCCTTGTGAAACTAGTGATATTCCTTCTAGGGAACAACTTCTTGACCTTTTTGTCTTATCTCCGAGATCACACAGAGATCTATCTGCAATCAACATCAGCCCAGAGTCAGGGCTGCTTCTTCCTTCTCCCATAACCACACACTTCTATGGGAATGTTTCTTCTGGCTGGGGAGGCAGTATCACTTGGGGGCAGAGTGAGCATTTCAGAACCACAGCCTTCAACACCAGCTCTTCCCTACCCATGTCTCTACCAGGCAGTGGTGGGCGGAAGCTAAGACCACTGCTAGCTTGAGAATGCTTTAAAAACCTCTGCAGAGAAGGTACTCTAGCACTTCACAGGACTTGAGTTTTAGTAACACTACTAATGATATGAAGTTAACTGACATGAAGTAAACTCATTAGTAATGTTTTATGTTACCTTTATTCTCTGCTTTACAGTAGTTTGATGCCTAAGTGTTGGAAATACAGTGATTTGGTTATTTTTTCTTTCAGAATTGTCCCAGGGACATTAAGGAAGTACTTAAGTAAAAATTACTGTAGTAGAGGATTTCCTTCAAGTGGCTTATTTTCCTATAGAAAACTGGATATTCCTTTATTTTTAGAGGATAAAAATATCTCCTGAATAGCCTCCTGTGCCTTAGAATTACAGTATTTGGGATTCTATATTTAATACATATTTAATATAGAAGCTATACTTAATATGGAATTGCAATATTTGGGATTCTATATGTAATATTTAGATTTCCCAGAAGACTTTTAAATAAGCAAACTCTGTATTTCTGGGTAGTTACTTTAAAGTCAGTCATGGGGCAGACTTCCAAATAGGCAATTTGAAAGGATTGATTGTAGGCGTTATTGCACTGGATATAAGAAAAACCTCACAAAACCAAAACAAACAAAACCAAGGCACATAGAATAAATGCAAGTATTTGACAGTTTTGTTGTGATCAATAAAAAAGTGGACAGCTGATGAAGACTGATCAGACGAGACCACTGTTTCTATAGTACTTTTCAGCTTTTCAGTCAGAACAGAAGAAAAATTTTGTCCTACGAACAGCTAATTTATTTCTCAAGGCATTTCTTTTCTATTAATCTTCCCATGCCCTGCTATATAAGACAGCATTGAAGAAAATACTCCTGTCACTGGAATGTATATTGAAGCATGTGTTAGTGTAGAAAATGCTTGACTTTAACATGGATACCTGATACGAGACCCTGGAGAGTGTGGTGCGTGGGATAAACAACATGCCAGGAGTAGGCAGTGTGGCGAGAAGATTACACCCAGCGCAGCTATAGATGTCACATCTTTCAAAACAGCTGTAGAATATAAGCTGAGGAAGAGCTGTCTGTGTTTTCTGTCACTTTTGAGTGCTATTACTTATGTTTTTCAATGCTATGAAGTCAGCAGCAGTAATAAGGACACTTGCCCTATTAGGAAATTATTAATATTTTCTTTTTTTCTAAAGAGAAAAAGCTTTCCACATATTTGGTATTTTCTTTCCTCATTTTTATATCACTGCATGCAGGAACTTCTCCTGCAGAGAGCCAGGACAAAAGTGTCAGATCTTTGGTACAATCTCAAAGGGTTTTCAGTAGGAACAAAGTGATGCTTGAACCTTCACCAGCCTTTTGTGAAGGGATGACTGGGCCCCTTCTCTCATAGCAAATAACTTATTAAAAAATAGTATTTCTTGAGTTATTATGAAGAGCAATAGAAATAAGCCATTCTACGTCTAACACCAACCAACAGCAAGCAAGTTAGCTCCACGGTGAGGAATGAGACTCTTCTGCTTTTTAGTTTCTCTAATATTCCTGATATGTTCAGTAGTGCAATTCTCATTGAGGACAAGTCCCAGTGACCAAACCATTCCTTTAGAAAAATGTTGCTCCTATTGCCAGAAGCAAGCCTTTACTCAGCATACCACACTCTAAAACCACCTGGTTCTTCTGAAAATCCCACGTCCATGCAGATGCAATAAATGTGGAATTTTTACAGTAGATTGCTGTCAAATGGTAGGATATAGAGGATGATTACTGCCTGGGCTGGTGCTGGTTTGACATGTTGATTTGACATGCTCTGTCCCTGTGATTTCCTTGAGCCTGAAAGCAGTAAAGCTGCTTTAATAAGGCACTGCTTCCAGCTCATTTGCCTTTACCTCCCAGAAGGGCCTATGACCTTAGGTGCAGGCTGGGGCTGCAGCAGCAAAACTGCTACTAACTTGATACTAGTGAGCCTGAATCTAGCTCCTCAGTGTATAGGCACACAGTAGAAGCACCCTACATTGGACTTTTAAAAGTCAGCCATAAAACTGGAGCCTAAACACACCAATTTTTTCTTCATAAAATAAAATCTGGAAATGCTTATTTGCTTTTAATTACTGTCCAGTTTGCACAGTTCTTTGGCCTGCAAAGACATGGGAGAGGAGATCTTGCCTGTCCAAAGCCTAAAGTAGGTTTCAAGATGGGGGTTCCATCCTGATTTGTGCCTGATGCTTCCTGTTTGTCCTTTTATATCCCATTCTCAGTACTAAAACAGAGCTAAAGCCACCCTGCTGCTCATGGAAAGCATGAGGTAAAGCCCAGGGAAGCCTGTGTCACATTACCATGCCACAGAGGTAGCTAGACCTCAATAGGAGTGAAAACAAAAAGTGAAATACAGTTCTTCACAAAGCCATCACAACTAGGTAGCCAGGGGATTGTAGAGATAAAGAGTTTCAGCTTAGTACTGTACTTCTAACTTCAAAAACAAATCAAGCAGCTGGAATAGAAGAGCAGGAGGTAGAAGTTCTGAGTTCCAATATTGCCTCTGGTATTACACTTTGTTTCTGTACTTTGGTTTCTATGGAACCCACCACTAGACCAGTTCATAGCAATTTAACCAGAAAACATGATTCTTGCTGCTGCAAATTGTGTGAGAAGTTCCCTTTTACCAAGGATCAATACCAGGCCCATATACCTCCAGGATGGGGAAGTACTACTTGAATGGCCCAGGGGCCCTAGGAAATTCTTTGAGCAGCAGTGAACTTCATTGTCTGTAAATATCTACCTGGTATTAACATATTGTTTTTATTTTTTTATTTGACGTTTGTTTGCCTTATTATGTGAATGCAACACGTGCAGCTGCACACCTTAAAACAATCCATGTTTTTAGAAAGACATGCTAGTAGAAATGGAAGTTAATTTAACACTTAATATGTTGACATTCATGATTTTTGTGACTAAAAAGGCCATGATTATATGTAAATGTCAGTCTTACCGGTGGCATTATGTCTAATAAAACTTAACATCTAATTGATGCAATTATTTCTGCCCACTTCAGCATCTATTAAAAAATGCAGCTGTTTCTCAGCACCATACCTGGCACCTACACACCTCTCCGGAGGTTTGAAAGAGACCTTTATTTCCTGCAAGCACAGGCATCCATCCACACAAGGAGATGCAATATGTGGTCATAATATAACAGAGGTAAAGATGTAACAGCCACAGGAATGCTCATTTCAGGCTTGCACAGCATATTGCAGTGATCCATTATTGTTTTAACTTAGAAATAGATCCCATGCTACAGAATTACTAGGACAGATATTGTGTGTTTCTTCTGTTACTTTTGCAACATCAGTTTCTCTTACTTAATAGACATATACCTTTTTAATTAGGCAGGTGAGCATCCTGATTCATCATAGTACTCTGAGTACTTCTAATTATGACTCTGAAATGTTGAACTGTAAAATAATACTAAGGTGTTGTGTAAAGAAACTGAAGATGAGTGAGAAAACATAAGACTTCATATCTCTATTTAGTCAGCTATATTTGCCAACAGAAGTAAAACTGTGCTACTGCACTTTCTTTTCTGATCCCAGCCAGGTTTTAGTTAACCATGCATCAACTGGGACCAGAGAAATCTCTTTTTCATTGGACTGTTTATTGCTTATTTAAAGATACAAAGTGAGACTTCCTTAATCTCTTTTGCCCTCCTCTGAAAGCCTTAACAACTATATTAAATGATTCAGAAGCACTCTGGCTTCTTGCCAGGTAGCTGACATCCAGTCATAAAGAGACAGCAGTCTATAAATAATTTGTGGAATAAGCTGTGATTCACCTAAAATGCCACCTCTCCAGTCATTCCTCTGTGTCATTAGTTGTGCATCATTAAATTATTTCAAGGCTAAGTATTTACATGCAGTGCAGCCCAAGAAATCAGTATAATAATGGTGCATGAGCAATAGAGTATAAAAATCAGTAGGGCATGAAGACATGGGAGGACTGAGGTCCTTATTTTTCCCCAATTTCTTAAACTATCCCACTCTCAAACTGTAGCTGTAATAGCGGTATGGTTAGCTGAAACTCCCAAGAGCTGCCTCAGAAGCTGTTACTAGTCAAAGAACTCTCTCTAAATATTCATTCACTAAACAGTGTTTGCACATATAACATCTTGCAGCACCACATTATTCCTTGTTAATGATCACAGAATACAGGGTCAGGAACTGGGAGTGTGGAACTGTATGACACTTTCAGAGGTACAATACATGTCATTAGATGAGCTGGAATGCAGGCCAGGAATCCTAGCCCACAGCTGTGCAGACTGAAGGCCTGAAGCACTGCAGGCTGAAGCACATCAGATAGCCAACATGCACGGTCAATGCCCAAAATGTGCCACCATCGCCTCAGCTGTGCAAATAGCAGCAGCCAGGCCCCAGGCACCAGTGATGCCCACTGGCGAGGCAGAGCCCCATGCTCTCAGAGCTGAGGGGCTCAGCTGCGGCCCCGCCGCGGGGCTCTGGCCAGGGTGCTGAAGTGGCCGCGGCGCCCCGGCTCATGAGAGCAGTGCGGCGCGAAGGCGCGACAGCATCAGGGCGGGAGAGCGAGATAGCGTCCCCGAGTACAGAGAGACCCTGCAACATCGGAACCGAACTAAGGTGGGCAGAACATCTTTGTTCCGTTATCAGCACTCGAAAGACCCTGTCGCACATGATGGCCTTTGGTTAGTTAGAAGAATGACTTTTCTTAAATCTCAAAGTAATATCTGCTTGATGACATGAGTGGGGTTAAGTAACAAGAGAGAAATACCGTGTGCCCACGACTGTAACCCTAATAAACATAACTGACAGTTTATAGGTACAAACCGTGCAGGACTCCTCTGTCCAGGCTACAAGGTAGCTGGGTCACAGGGAGGTGCATTCCAGAAACTGCATGAATGGCTAAGTACCCTACTACATTAACACTGCAAGTCATCATCATGACTTGACTTTGCGAACGAAGATTTGGGAAGGGCTTTTACCCACGCTTACTACAAGCGCGCTGATGACTAAGAAGGCCAATGTGGGATAGGCAAATCCGGCTACAAAAAGCACAGCAGAAGGTCTCCTTGGGTGGAACAGGTGGGACACGATTCTTCCTGCGTTGTCTTTTCTCCTCGAGACTAGTTCTTCGTGAGCACTCAAAGGAGTCAGCGGCATTATGTATGGTGTGCCTCCAAGTCTCCCGATTGGAGGCCAAGGTGGACCACTGATGGTAGTCAATATGGCCAAGGCTAAGGTATTGTTTCAGGGAGTCCTTATATCTCTTCTTTGGGGCACCTCTCTTGCGGCTACCGGTGGCAAGTTCACCATAAAACACGATCTTGGGGAGGCGGTGATCCTTCATTCTAGAGACGTGCCCTGCCCAGCGCAGCTGCAATTTCAGCAATATGGCCTCGATGCTGGTGACCCCTGCCTGTTCGAGGACAGTGACATTAGACACATAGTCAGTCCAATGGATGTTTAGAATTGTACGGAGGCAGCGCTGATGAAAGCGTTCCAGGAGTCGCAGGTGATGACGGTAGATGACCCATGATTCAGACCCATATAAAAGAGTAGACTATACAATGGCTCTGTAGACACTGACCTTTGTACTTTTCTTCAGGTGTTTATTACACCAGACTCTTTTATGGAGTTTTCCAAAGGCTCTATATGCCTTTTCTATTCTGTTATCTATCTCTTTGTCGATCGTGGCATCCGAGGAAATGATGCTTCCCAGATAGCTGAACTGCTGAACTGTCTTAAGCTCTGACTCGCCGATGGTAATATGGGGATGGCGATGATCTTCTTGGGCTGCAGGTTGGTAGAGGACTACTGTCTTCTTCAAGCTGACTTCCAGCCCAAAAACCTCAGCCGCCTCCGCAAAGCAAGATGTTAAACGCTGCAGAGCTGCTTCTGTGTGGGCAACAAGGGCGGCATCATCAGCAAAGAGCAGTTCACGGACAAGATGGTTTAGGGTCTTAGTGTGGGCCTTCAGTCGCCTTAGATTGAATAGGCTACCATCGGTACGATATCGAATATAAATGCCGTCTTGTTCGTCGAGGTCTGCTGTAGCCCTTTGGAGCATCATGCTGAAGAAGATTGTGAATAAGGTCGGTGCGAGAACGCAACCTTGTTTCACACCATTGGTTATTGGGAAAGGCTCAGAGAGTGCATTGCCATACCTGACTTGGCCTTGCTGATCCTCATGTAACAGAATAATCATTTTGAGGAACTTGGGGGGACAACCTAATCGTTCTAAGATCAGCCATAAGCCTTTCCTGCTCACAGTGTCAAAAGCTTTGGTGAGGTCAACGAAAGTTACGTATAACCCCTTATTCTGTTCTCTACACTTTTCTTGCAATTGTCTGAGAACAAATACCATGTCTGTGGTACTTCTATTAGCCCTGAAACCACACTGACTTTCCAGGTAGAAAACACTGCAAGTAGAGAAACTGTAAACTGGAAAGCTCCCCCTACCAGTCGTGAACTGCAGTTTATTCCAGATATAGAAGGAAGATATCAACTGCCTCTCATCTAGGTCAGAGAATCTAAGAAATCCCCAAGACCTTTGAGCAGTAATATCCTTTGTAACCTCTGAAGCCTTGCATGTCTGTTGAGTATAAAGCTCCAGGTATTAAGCTTGATACTACAGAAACATTTATTACTAAAGTATTAGAATAATCATTACTCTGCTACAGGATTATGTAGGCTATCCAGATAGTGATATGGGTTCTATTATATTGGAAATTGTATTCAAAAATCTTAACCACTCTGCAGTGAGTGTAATGAATTCTGTTTTCATTTCCACTGTCTAGGATCCCAAATAGTCTCCCTCTTTTCTAAAGAGGTTTTTTTTTTAAAATCACACTATTATAAGTGGGACTGAAATGTATAGTGTTTCTCTTTTCCCCAACATTCACTCTGGAATTACATCATAGATTTGCTAAAATGATTTTCAGTAATCAAGAGATAGAAAATCATAAAAACTCTCTTGCTGCTGCTCTCCCCTTAATTGCCTGTCTAGTCCCATTCCAAACCCAACAGTACAAAATTATCTGATAATTTCAAGCAATAATAAAAAAATATCTATGTCAATAGAAAGCTTTATAAGATTTTTTTTTTAAAAGTTGACATCTGCTTTGGTTATAAAAGCACACAGTTCCAAGATAAAAGAAACTCCTCTAAGAAATACACACCCTGGCCAGGCTTAAACAAAACCCAAACTTGACAATAGTGTAACCCAGGTCAGCTCAGTTACAAGCTTCAAATATTACTGTAAAAAAAAAAATTCAGCTCAATAATATTCACTGTCAGTTATAGCTGTTGCACCTACTTTGAATTCCAGTTACCTCAGCTGGACAAAGAATTAATGAGAATAAGTAGGAATGACAGGATTCCTTCTTGCTTCAGGAAACAGGGCTAATTTTGATTACCTATGGGTCATGAAATATTTAATGGTACCTTTCTTCAAGTGAATGGAGAAGTCTTGATTTAATACTGGTAGGTATTGTTTAAACCTGCCAGCTTCAGTTTCCTTCAAAGATTGATATTAGCCTGGTATTTTTTCTTACCCAAAGCAATCAACAATACTGCTGTGTGCAAGATGTTGTGTACCTGCACAGCAATTGCTTCGTTTCAACAAGAGTATTTTTCTGAAATGGTCATTTTTGTAATCTATAAAATGGAACTAACCCATTGAAATCAGCATGAGTTAGTACTGCCCCTGAGAACAAAATGGAGCTGAAAGAGCTTTAAGTTTCTTCTTACTGAAAGATCTTTTATCAGAATGAAGTGTCATTACCTCAGTGGCCCTGTGGCCATTTCAGAAGTATATAAACACTTGCTACTTATCTGTTAGCCATTCAATTACTAAGATCTTGATACTGTGTAAATATTTAACTACAATAGAGGATATAAATCAGAGAAAGTGATTCTGTTTCATTCCACTGGTGGCAGTAAATCACAGGCTATTCAGACTACTGGGCTACACCCAAAGAACTGAGCTGTGAACACAAGCAGACATTATCTAAATTCTCCTGTAAAGCAAGTCCTAATTAATTCACAGTTCACAGGGGGAAGGC